CTCAAAGGCATCAATTCTTCTACGATCTTCCTTATGAAGCTGAAGAAAATGAAAACAAGTCTTCGAGAGAGCTCCTTAGTACCACCCAAAACCCAAAACCAAACCCACTGCCATCGAGTGGAATTTGGAGGGAGGGGCAGACTAAGGACCAGGATCGAGCCCCTGGAAGGAAGATCCGTGGGAAGGGCTGGCAGGATATTAATGGTGCACACATGAGGGTTTTCAGGTTCAATCATGCGGATTGCCCACAGATTTGGTAATTCAGCTCCCAATCCCAAGCCAAAGAGACACAACTGGTGGCTTTTCCCTGAGGTGTCCACAGCACTCCGGCAGGGAAGGAGGCATCTTTGACTCACATACGGTAACTTGTTGCTGTGACGTGTTGTCAAGTCATTCCTGACTCATAGCGACCCTGTATTAGGATTTCCAAGGAGCAACTGGTGGGTTTGAACAACCAACCTCGTGCTTAGCAGTCCAGTGCTTATCCTACAGCACCATACCAGGACTCCAATACAATAAGTGGAGAAGTAATAAAACTCCAGGGCTCTAATTACGTGGTTGTTGGTGGACTCCTGCCCAGCCTATGGTTTGAACAATAATGTGGGTCGGCACGGTCCACTCTCTGGTTGGACTGGAAATGGTAAAAGTGAGTACTTGCTGAGGTTCCTCAGGGGCATGTATTCCCTTTTATGTGGGTACATCTCATCAACCCATCAAAAAGGAACTCTGGTAGCGTAGTGGTTACAAACTGGGCTGCAAATCTCACGGTCAGCAGTTCGAAACTACCAGCTACTCCATGAGAGAAAGATGAGGCTTTCATCTCCTGTAAAGATTTACAGCCTCAGAAACCCTGTACAGGGTCGCTATGAGTCAGAACCAACTCCACGGTACATAGCCACCACCAGTACCATCATCCCATCAAAACAACCGGGCTCGTGCCATCTGATAAACTCTCTCCTGGAAAATAGAATCTGAATCTTCTCAACTCACTCCTTCAACTGTTTGATATAAGCAATAATATGTCCTAGTGTGGCGCTGTAAGATAAGCACTGCACTGCTAATCTCAAGGTCAGCAGTTCAAACCCACCAGCCTCTACTTGGAAACCCTAGACAAGGTTGCTATGAACTGAAACCAACGCCATAGTACTTAACAATAAGATATCCCTGAAGGAGAGTGCAGTGGTTCTGTAGGATAAGCACTGGACTTTAAAACAACAAGGTCAGTGGTTTGAGCCCATCACCTGCTCTGTTGGAGAGAAATGAGGCTTTCTGCTCTCACCCACAAAGATTTACAGCCTTGGAAACCCTATACAAGGTTGCGATAAGTCAGACCC